CTTGGCTATTTCATCCTATCGATTTACTCAACAAGAATTGTTTGTATTAAAAAGTGAATACTTTGGAAGTGCAACGATTTGACCGATTGACAGGTATCATTGATGAGACTTGTACAATTCGGGTTGACTCGATATTCCGATAGGTCGACACAAATCGTAAATGGCCTCAATCTTCGTTTCTCTCTTATTAACTCAAATCACTTGAATCCTCCAAGAATCTAATGCCCAAAATGCTTTTGATGATTTTCCTGAATAATGGAATCACTCAGGTCATAACTGAAAACACAAGTAACTCTGATGCAAAGCATTTTGAATTCCTGTTTGATTATGTTGTGCCTCCGAAAAATGTCTCAATACTATATGAGCCTGATAAATCACATTCTGAATAACTGATGACCCCGTCAGCTAATGAACTCTTTCAATAGTGATTTTAATTTTCTCCATTCTATCGGTATATTGAATATCCGTGTTTCTCTGCTCGATAAGATTATCCAGTATCTCTGAATAATATCTGAAACCTCTAGTGTATTCCCATATCACATGGATGTTTTCTCTAATTTCTATTCTGATCTCTGCTCTGATTTCTGCCGCCTGCCTGCTATATAAAAATGAGCAGTGACGCCTGTAAATCTTTAGGGAGGTGATCAGCAAGGGTTTTGGCTTCTGGTTCTACGACGATTCTAAGAGTAAGAGAGACGAATGAGTAACAAAACTGGTAGCGGCCGGTAACATGTAGATGAAACAAAAAGAAATATGAGGGGACCATGATGTCCTATTTTCCCAATATAGTTTTCAATCTGAATTTCCATGGCTGCTCGTGTTTCTCTTTCTTCTTCTTCTTCTTTTTCTTTGTTTTTCCTTCATCAGTTCGGCCTTCCCTCAATGTTTCCTTCCCGGACCTTGTGATGTTTGCTATTGCTCTGAAGGATCATTTTTCTTGGTGAAAAATGAAAAAAAATATGGTTGACTGACCCTTTTGATTAAAGAACAAAAATATGGAAGTTTAAAAAGAATCCTTAATTTCCCAAACCTAATTTTAAAGAAGAAACAGTGATTGAAGGAGAGCAGAAAAATTGGAAGACATTGTATAGATGTATGTATATATTGAATGTAAATGCAGTTGATGTATGAAGAAGCAAAGCAAGTAGCTAATGATGTTGGAGGTATCAGAATTGCCGCATCTTTTTGTTCGGATCAGAAGGTGATAGATTTGTACCAATAGAAATGCGAAGCCCCTATGAAGCAGGGAGTCCGACTCGAACTTGTAAGCAGTATCAGGTTCGAGTTTTCTTTCTTTGCGGAATATTGCACAAATGCATTCTGTTTCTACCTTGGATCTATACTTGTGAAGCATGAGAAAGCAAAGTTTGAAGAAATATTTAATGTTTTCTCTGTATCAACTGTCTCGGCCATGGCTGTTTTGCGAACCAATGCCTTGGCTCCTTACACCAGTGAAACCAAGGGTTCAACAGCTTTGATATTTGACATTCTTGATACAAAACCCTGATTGAGTCGAGCAGAGAGGATAGCTTAACAATTCCAACGGTAGCAATATTGAGTTAGAAAATGCTAGCTTCAAGTATCCAATTTGACCCGACATTAATATATTCAAAGATTTGTTATCCACTGTAACAATTCCCACTGAAGTTAAAGCTTTGCTTTAACGTAAATTTGGAAATAATGTGCGAAGGGAATGATGGTATGATAAGTAATGTTTATTATCCAACCATGTTCTTCAACTTCTTCCACTCCTGCTCGAATTTATCTTTGGTCCACCATGAGTTCATACATTTTTCAAATGACTTAAACTTCTAATTTGTGAAGAAATGAGGTTGCATGTACCATACACAAAGATGATTGAAGGCGGAAGAACAACAATTGATTAGCGCTGTGGGATCAATAATATGGTTGTATATTTGATCTCTAATTTTATTATTATTATTCCTGATAAGTCACTTTTAAAGGATCACACGACACAATTCATGCATTACAGGAAGTCGTGTCTATTGTTCGATGAATAGCGAGTCATTTCTATTTACCAACATGAAAATATTGTCACTTTTATTCATATTAAATAGTTATTTGACGCCTTTAAAATCAGAAAATTTCAAAATATTGTACAACGATGCAATACTTTTTTTTATCAATATTATAATATATAATAATTTAGATGCTTACCCAATATGTTTTAACTACAGTCAGAGTCAGAGACGACGGATGTATGATTTTATATTATGAGACGAACTTTTAAATTTTTATGAGGGATGAATTTATGAAATTCTAGGGGTGTAAATAGATTACCAATACAAAATATATAGAAAATATCTAAAACATGTGATGATTTGAATTTTAGGGAGTTGATTGTCCTATGTTGTCCTTAAGGATGGGCGTGGGTCGAGTTTTCAGTTAACCCGACACGAAAAATATGCACCCTTCACCCGACATGAACTGGTTTTAAGGTGATTTCACTTGACTCGAAGCCAACCCGCCTTTTTAAGATTAAACTTGAATCTGATTCGAAATAATTTTTTTATAATATTTAATAAAAATTAGGGTTCTAATTAAAAAATTATAAAGAGAGGCATTATTGTATTTTTTTCCTAAATATATAAGATATAATTATATTATTTTTTGGGTCGGGTCAGGTCGGATGCTTTTTACCTTAAAATTGAACCTGACCCGAACATATACTCTAAAAAAATTGATTCAACCCGAATCAATTTTTTTCAAAAAAAACTTATCCAATAAAATTAGGTCGAGTTGAAACTCGTCAGGTCTAGATCTCGTGACCATCCCTAATTGTCTCTCCTTAGTCTACCAATCCCTGCAGTGATGTAGCTGGTGTTTTTAATCATTATGAATTATGACTATGTTAATAGGATATGGCTATAAAGTATTTTTTTATTTAATTACATGTATGTAATTTATTAGACGATTAATCTAGATTGAGTACTATAAAAGTTTATTATAAGGGTGATTTTCCAACTCAGTTTGTTATGCTCACAACTTCAATATTTGAATTTCCAACTTTAAGGGATCTAGTATCTCATGACACTAAACCAATTGATTACTGATACTTATCCACAAGCATTTTAGTAACAATGAAATAAATCTCAATGATGACAAGGACCGTTATTGAAATTAAAAAATTGTAATTACATAGTATATATACTAATTATTAATTAATTAAAATATTATGAATAGATACTATCTTAAAATCACCTAAATTAATTTACTAAGTTATTGAAATTACATATATCATGTCGGGGTATTACTAATATTATTATATTTTAATTAGTGTTTGATTGTCTCAATACGCCTACACATGACAAGTAATGTGAAGAAAATGAATAACAAAAGTCATGAGCATTTATTTCATGTGAGCAGTCGGCACTCACACTACGCAGACTAATATTTGTTTTCTAATTAATTTTTCATATTGATCATACTAAATAAATGATGAAAACACAATTTTGTTGGTATCTGTTTAAATTTTAGAATGATATTTTCTAAAACTTAAATTTAAAATTCATTTCAAGAAATAAATGTGATAGTTTTTATATTAAAAATTTATGAGATACACTGTACAATACTAGGGGTAATATTTTAATAAGTTTTTAAAAACATTTTTACCAGAGCAGCCGACTGCGAGGTTCTTAGAGTTTGTATTACATACAAAAATCACATTTATACTGAGTTCGGTTAGGTTATTAACATAAGGAAATATTTAATTATTTTATTGGTCTTAAAGTAAGTTATTGTAACATAAAAAAGGTCAATGTAAATCTAAATTTAAAATTTAAAAGATAAATATAAATTTAAGTAAAAATAATAATATCTATTCAGAATAGTAATATATATTTCTTCTCTTTATTCAAATTAAAATCATATGAATAAGTACGAATCAAGTGACCTAGTGTAAAGGAATTGTTGTTCCTTGAGGTTTCGAATTCGAGCACCATGAATGTCAATGATATAAAATGCCAATGATATAAAATGATTGAGAGTTAACTTTGAACATATAATACCTTTATACTTATATTATATTTATAAAAATTTCATATGAATAACTAACAATTACAAAATAAAGTTAATTTATTATAAACTCATCTACTAAAACCTAATAAATAAATAACAATCCTCTCAAATTTAACATTAAAAATATATTTCCAAGAATGGTTATTTGTATAAGAATATTATTTATTCATGAAAGTGAATGATAATTTTTAAATAGTAAAAATTTTAGGGAAAAAGGGTTTTTCAAATCACTTATTAGTAAAATTTATGTCTATTATATATATATATGTATATATTATGGATTTATGATTATCTTTCAACAATCTCATGTCTAAAATTTGAATGTGAATTTTTACTTGAAAATATAATGTATTTTACCATTATAATATTAATCTTTTTTGGTTAATCTAGGGTGTTTACAATTGGTAGCATATGTTCTAAAGATTCTCAATCATTTGATAATGAACGCTCAAAAACTATATAGTTGTTGGTGCACGAACCTGACCTCAAGAAATAACAACTATTCTTTAACTACTAAAATCGCTTGATTCATGCTCATATACCACAAATCTTTGACTTGTTTCGTCCCTCATTTATTTAGTCGATCGATTTATTACTATTCTTAACGATATTTTAACCTAAATTGCCTTGCGCTTTTGCTTTTTGTTTAATTTACACATACAATATATATATCCATTGAGTGTTATTACAAGTGGTTAAAATTAAAAAATTTGAGCTTGTAAAGTCAAATTCAAATCCGACTAAAGTCACTCTTAGTGGATAATCTTTAAATTTTTATATACAAACAAAGCGTGGGAAAAAAGATAAATGCAAGTTTTTATGAATATATATATATATATATATATATATATATATAATGCAAGTTAACTTGTAATTGATTACTAAACAAGAAACTTGTTTAAGTTTGAACACATGGTACAGTTGACCGAGGAGAGTAAAAGATAAAAAGAAGCTAAGCTAATTTACCTATAGCTGTTTATGAAACCTTCAGGAGCTAGTATCGGTAAGTTCAACATGGTTTCCGGCGGTGGAGCTCGTTCCGATGAGCCAGCACTTGCCTGGCTACACCCAACAATCTGTTCGCATGTCTCGATGAGGCAGTGCCTGCATTTAGGGCAGGATGAATGAGACCTCAGGCACTTGTCGATATATCCAACATGGAACCCATCGTTGCACTTGGGTAGAAGCCGCACGCGGTCACCGGGTGTGAAATCCGAAAGGCATATCACACACTCAGAGTCCAAACCAGGCAGTTTTAACTCGGTCGAGTAGCTCACTTTTGGAAAGGTCTTCAATGCTTTTCGCTTGACCCCTGTGTTTGCTAACCGGGGTTCCGAGGCCAATAAACTCAGAAACCTCAATGCGAACCTGATGATGGAAATGAGTCCAAGTGAGCAAATTACGGCACAGACGAGGATCGACAGAACCGTGATGACGATGTTTCCGATTCCATTGAAGCTGTTGTTATCGGCAGTGGTGTCTGAAGAATTGTGGGGGTTTTCAGGGCTTGGTTGTGTTTGAACATATGGTGTATACAGAAGAAATCTTCTGAGTAGTGGAATTCTCCTAAAATCTTGAACATGTTGAGTGGATGTGGCAATGGACATAGTTTTGGCAGGGTCTGGGTATTTTAGGTTGAGTTTAGATGTTTGGACAAGGGATTTATATATGAGAAAGTAGAGGCTTTTTTAATAGAAGGTAGAGTTTTGAGTTCTGAGAATTATAATTTTTTAGTTTTAAAATGAATTGTATTTGGGAGTAATCAGGGTTAATTTGGGGCATATAGTAGGAAAAGAATACCAATATTTTAGAATAAACTACACTTTTAATACCTAACTATCACTTTTATTCTATTTGGTCATCCAATTATTTTTTAAAATAAATTATAAATTTGATAATTGATCTTTCTACTTTACTCTCCCTCCATTTCATTCAATGTATTAATTTTTTTAATTTCCTCACTGAACTTAATACATTGGTTTTTTGGGTCACTTAGTCGTTTTCTTATATGATGTTACAAATGAATTGTTATATAGATGCAAAACGTCGTCGTTTGGTGATTTTTTTTAAAACGACACATTTAATATCGTAACTATTTATGGCGGAGTGACAAAAAAAACCCAATGTATTACTTCAATGAGAAAAATGGAAATTTTAAAGTTCAGTGAGCAAAATAGGAGAGAGAGTAAAGTTCAATGATGAAATTTGTAATGTTCAATGAAATTTGTATTTATCTATTTTTTTAAAACACACTTAACATTACGTTTTGGTTTTATTTTGATCACCCAACGTTAAAAATTAATAAAACTGCTGATTTGGATTTCTTTCTATATTTTTCAATAATAATATGATATTACCTTACATTATCATGTTAGTATCACTATTAATTTTTTTAGTAATAGGAGACTAAAATAAAATCAAACTACATGTCTATATAATTTTAAAAAATATAACTAAATGATTAAACTAAATAAGTTTGCCTACATTTATCCTCTTAATTCATTAGAAGTTAAGTGGGCATAATTTAAGCTTTATCATGATACATATCTTAAAAAGAAAATTAATTTAATAACAATGTTATTGTAGTGTACTGAAAAGCAATAATGCCAAACCTTTTTTTAGTCAAATCTAAAATTCCTGTATGAATTCTAATAGGCTTAAAGCCAAGTGTTTATGTTATATATATGAAATTTAAAGCACATTTTATCAAAATTAAAATTTAAAGCACGTGTATCATTTGTCAGTAGACGGTGATTAATGACGCATACAATTTAACAGGGAACATTTGTTATTATATCATATTTATTTATGATTTATATTTAAATTTATAATTAATTTTTAATAATTTATCTTTAAAATTGAATTTGAATTTATCAACAACATAACAATAATTTGAAATTAGATTGTTTTAGTATTGTTAAAGGTCAAAATTTCTTAATCTATGTATTTGGATGCGATTAGGACTGTGGAGATTTGTTATCTTATCCAGGAGTCTATAAGTGAGATTGATTTAGATTGATTATTGTCTATTATATTATTAATAATAAGAAAATTTATTTCGTGAAAAAACCAATAGCTATCTATGTTCCAAAAATTCATTTTTTGCAAAAGTTTTGGTGAAACTTTTTAGAATTTGTTACGTTTTTTTAATTAATTTTTTTAAAATAAATATTATTTTATAATCATCTCGAAGAAATTTATTTCGTGAAAAACACCTGTATGTGTTTCAAAACTTCATTTGTTACTATTTTTTTTTCATATTTGAAGAGCACTATTTATGGATAAGTTTTCAATCATTCTTCTTTTGATTTGTCATCATTTGTTGGTTTATGTTACTTTTGTTTGTGATTGCGAGTTTCTTGCTCCACCATTGTTGTCTTACTCACAAATATTCCAATTGGTTGATAGAAAAAGTTAATGTCAGATACAGTGATTGATTCCTGTTCATTGTTGTCAAATACAATGACTTTAATGTTCTAGACATTACCATTGCCATTTTTATTAGAGAAAATCGCCTCAGTGACCAAAAATGCCTTATAGTATACGATTTTAACCAACTTTTTCCGGATTTGCCAAAATGATCAACAAAATCGCAATGCGATCGCTAATTCGCAACGCGATCTCCATTATCGCAAATTCGCGTTGCATTTCGCGTTGCGATAGTTGGAAATCGCGTTGCGATGGTCTACAGTGTGTTCGATTTTCCAACTCGCAATGCGAATAAGTAAATCGCAACGCGAATTGGGAAAATCGCAATGCGATACTGACTATCGCAACGCGATAATACAAAATCGCAACGCGATAATGACTTTCGCAACGCAATTCTGACTTTCGCAACGAGATAATACAGAATCGCAATGCGATTTTCAAAGTTCGCAACAGGTTTTAGTTTCGCAACACAAATTTGTTGGGTATATATCTACGCAGCAGCAACAACTCAACCTAAATCCAAATCACTCATTCCATCTCCTCTATCACTCTCTCCGGCGACATCCGTTCCTACATCCTTCCCCATCCGGCAACAGGTCTTTTCGCTCGTTTGTTTAGTAAATTAATTTACAACCATGAAATCATCTAATGTTGATCATGTTTGGATAGATTTGTATTTGGAGGGTCATGGGAGAATGTTCATGGTGTTTTACAAATATGTCTTTACCCATGAATCTTCAACTAAAACTGTCATTAAAAAAGTTAACTTATGAACTCTAATGTTACGTGTTTTAAAGAAATTGAATTTAGAGCCCCTAAGTGGATTTAGGCTATCTTATCAGAGAATGGTAAAGTTTATTTGTTAACCAACAATGAAGATGTTGAACGATCATTATACATTAGTGTTCAAGTGATGATGTTACATTGTATGTGTTGAACCTAGAAGTAGTATTGTTGGGTCAGTCGGGAGTAATCAACTAAGTTTTTCTCAAAACCCAACCTTTCTCTAATCCAAATCCCAATCAACTTTCAGCACCAAATTCCGGTTTTCGTATTGAATTAGACGATGATGAGCCAACAGAAAAAATTGTGAGTACTAGTCAATATTCGAAATTTGATCTTGGTCAATACCCGGACTTGATATTGGTCATACTCATATTTGATGATGTTTCAGAAGAAGAAATAGACCCTGCGTGTAATGATTTGATATTGGTCATTTCCTGAATTTGATGATGAAACAGCCATTGCCGAGGAAGATGTTGTTGATGATAATGAGAAGGAAGTTACGACTGTGAATGAACATGTGAACATCCATTATGTAATTCATATATCCTGAAGAAGAAAAAGAAGAAGAAAAGTCCCCGAGAAAAGAAAATGCACGGGAGTATAACTAGAATATGCCAGAATTACTTCAGATACCGGAAGAAGAGTTGTAAAGAAAGCAGTTGATTGTTACACAAAAGTTATTCGTATCAAGAAGATGATTGTCTTGATACAAAGGAAGACTTGAAGATCTTTGTATACGAAATGTGTGGAAGATGGCTATCAAAAAAACAAATCAAGCAAAGATCGTTTCGAAACAAGGTGTATGATTGACAAAAACTGTACGTGGCGTATGATTGCAAAGAGGATAAAAGATTGCGAAATGTTTCAAGTTAGGAATTTTATTGATAAACATACATGTTCAAGAACCCAAGTTTTTCCTCACCATAGACAGGCAAACAAAAGGTGTTGGGGGTTTTTGGCTGAGTTAATGTTTTTGAATGGCAGGGTATCGGGGACATGAAATTATGACTGACATGAATGCTCGGTTCAAGATTAGTATATCATATTCTCAAGCTTGGAGAGCCAAATGTTATGCCTTGGAATTGTTGGGGGTCGCCAGAAGCATGTTTGCCCAACTACCGGCTTATTGTCAATTTAAAGCTGAAAATCATGGGTCGGTAACTCATATCAAAACAGATAGAGATGGACGCTTTGAGTGCTTTATCGCCATTGGTGCTGCGGTTAGTAAATCAATATAATTCTGTTGACTCATTTTTGTTAGTTACATGCATTTCACATTTAAATGATTATATTTCTGTGTTATTATTTTGTAGATTTGTTCGTTTATTACTTGCATATCCCAGTTATTATAGTGACGGACCACATTTGAAAGGTCGATACCTTGGAGTAACTTATTAGCAGTAGCCATGGATGCTAACATGGGATATTGCCAATAGCTACGGGTTGGCAAATCTGAAACCTCTGATTCATGGACATGGTTTATGGGCATCTTAGGGATTGCATAGGTCCTATTACCAATCTGACAATCATATCCGATAGGGAAAACTCAATTGACAACGCTGTTAAAAGGTGTTTCCCAGATGCTTTTCATTGACTTTGTGGTGTTCATTTGTATAGAAATCTAAAATCAAGGTTGCTGGTATAAAAACCACAAATGGACATACTGGAAGGCTGTAAAAGCTTATCGGGAAGTGGATTTCAATAAGCATATAAACTGTTTAAGACGTGTTTTGCCTCAGTGTGCTCAAACACTAGAAGATCGGGTTTGAAAGATGGTCAAGAGTACATCAACTTGGAGCAAGATATGGTTTCATGACGTCTAATAGTGCAGAATCAATCAAGCTCTAAGTCGTCATTCCCGGAAATTACCCATTACTTTAATGGAGTTTTTCGAGCCTCTATTCAACAGTGGTACTACAGAAAGAAACCATGCAGGTTTGAATTCGTAACTTATCATATATTTTACTAGTATTATTTATTTAAATTTACAGGAACATTGGAACATCGTGTTACACCATGGACTGAAAAAAAGATAACAAAACGTGTTGAAGTCAACGTCATGGAGAGTTGAACCTGTTCAAACACTTTGTTTGAAGTACTGGATATAACTTAAATGGGCTTGTCGATCTAAATGCAAGGACGTGTAGTTGTATGAAATGGCAAACATCTGTTATCCGTGTGGTCATGTTATAAAAGTTGCTCTTCATCTAACCAAGATGATTCAAGCACACGCTATGGATTGCTACACTACAGAAGTATATCGACAGACTTATGCCGAGATTGTCTACCCTATTCCACATCCTTTGAGTGGGACATACCAGACTACAAACAGTTTTGCCACCAGCCATGGACAGAAGGCTACCTGGCCGACAAAAAGTCACGATCGTATACC